GGGGGCAGCCAGCGCTCAACCTGTCATCCACGTGGCTGGCCTTGTACGTAAGAGGTTATGAACAGGTGGAGCTTTCCTTACCTCCTTCCCTTTCCCTTTTTTCCTTTTCCTTTTTTCTTTTCCCTTTTTTGCGCTCTGATTCACAATGTGACAATATATATATATATATATATATATATATCTCCGAAAGCTTAACATGATGCTGGCCTTGTCTGTCTTGATTAACGTTTCGTTGTGTCTGATTGGCCGCTTGACGGTTGATTGCCTTTAATTCGAAAAACATATCTGCGAAATTTTAACTCGATCCTGGCCTTGTGTGTCTTGGTTAACGTTTTGGAAAACAGGCTTCGCTGGGTAGATTCTAAGGTCTCAGAAGGTTCTATATCTCGGAAGTTATGAGGCGATGCCATCTTTTTGGGCGTACTCTGCGGTGACCCGGGAGTGGGTTCATTCTCTGAAAGTACGGTTGCAGTCTGTGTAGGCATAACCCCTTGAGACATAGGCACTCTCCGAAGCTCCGACGCACCGAAGCGACGCCTTTTGGGGGGTACGCCTTTTTGGGTGTACGCCATTTTGGGGGTACGCCATTTTGGGGGTACGCCTTTTTGGGGGTACGCCTGTTGGGGGGTACTGTGTGTTGAGCTGCAAGCGATCTCGGAAGTTCTGAAACATGCAGTGGCCTTTTTGGGCGTCCGCTGTGGTGAGCTGGGAGTGGGTTCATTCGGGAAGGATGGTTGCTGGCTGAGTTGAGGCAACCCCTCGACCGATCGATCTGGATAAAGGCGTACATCTGGATACAACCATTTAATTACAAATTTTTTTATTAATGATATGATAAAAAAAATTCTTATGAAATAATGAAAGATGCTTTAGTGAGAATCGAAGCCTGATCAAAGAATATACCAGGCGATCCTCAAAGCTATCAATTTGGACAAAAAAATTTGTCTGAGTCAGGCGTTCACACAAAAGGTTGAGTTCAGAAAGGAGGAGAGCAAAAAAAAAAAAAAGAAGAAAAAGAAAAAAAAAAGAAAGGAGGAGAGCTGTGAGCGTCTTTTTGCAGGCGCGGACCGGCTTCTCACGATGGATTTCAAGTTTGCCAACTTGCTAGGAGCGCCGTACAGAGGTGGGAACCTGATACTCTATGGGGAGCATAACCTGCTGACCCCGGTGGGCAATCGTGTGAATCACATAGACTTGGTACAATCAGAGAGCATCACCTTGCCGTTTGAAAACGCGGTGAATGTGTCTCGGATGGCCATCTCTCCAAACGGCGTCTTGCTCTTCTCCATCGACGCGGAGGGCCGTGGGCTTCTGGTGAACGTTCGGCGTAGGGTTGTTTTGCATGCGTTGAGGTTCAGGGAGAAGGTTAAGGCGGTGAAATTCAGTCCGGATGGCGCTTTCATAGCCGTAGGATCCGGCAGGGTCGTCGAGATCTGGCGTACACCAGGTCTCAAGAAGCAGTTCCAACCCTTTCAACGGCATCGGCTGTTCTTCGGGTGCCATGACGTTGTGACGTGCCTAGAGTGGAGTGCCGATTCGCAGTGGCTGATCGTTGGATCGAAAGATCTGGTAGTGAGGATCTTCCCGCGCGATCGACTACTAGGCGCCCGGCCCTTCTTGTTGGCTGGGCATCGGGAAGCTCCTCTCGGAGCATTTCTCCGCTACGATGACAAGGATGCCCACTGCATCAACGGCGCATACTCAATCTCCAGGGATGGAGCGCTGAGGGAGTGGAAGTTTTATCCGGACCTCGACAAGATCTATGCACCGTACACACAAGGAGCCGCTGGCGCTGGCCTCGCAGACGGTGCAGATGGGATGGCATGGAGGGGAGAAGAGGAAAAGGATGAACCAGAAGAAGAAGAGATGGGTAGGCATCCCCGTTGGGAAGACGAAGGCGATGACGATGGAGGGGGGGGGAAAGGAGGAGGAGGAGGAGGAGAAGAGGTGACTACTGCCATGGAGGTAGACGGGAAGGGTGGTAAGGCCTTGGTGGAGAAGGAGAACGACGGCGTGAAGAAGAAGTGGGTTCGGCAGTTGGACAAGGGTGTCGAGAGGATGATGGGTGGCAGATGGTCTCTGGTTAAGAAGCATCTATTTAATCAAGAGGCGAACGTTGGCAGCTGTGATTATCATCAAGGCCTGAAGCTGCTTGTCGTAGGGTTTTCCAATGGCATTTTTGGGCTTTACCAGCTCCCAGAGTTCACCCCAATCCACCTTCTGAGCATCTCTCGAGAGAAAATCACCTCCTCAGTCTTCAATGAAAGTGGAGACTGGCTTGCCTTCGGTTGCGCACGTTTGGGCCAGTTGCTGGTTTGGGAGTGGAGGTCCGAAACGTATGTCCTGAAGCAGCAGGGGCATTACTTTGACGTCAACTCGGTAGCCTACTCTGGTGACTCTCAGATGATCGCCACGGGAGCGGACGACACCAAGCTCAAGGTCTGGAATGCGGCATCCGGTTTCTGTTTCGTGACGTTCACGGAACACACCATGCCGATCACGGCGATCACATTCGTCGCGAACAATAATGTCGTGCTGAGCGCGAGCCTGGACGGCACGGTTCGCGCGTTCGACCTGATCCGTTATCGGAACTTCCGGACGTTCACCACGCCGACGCCGACGCAATTTGCGTCCTTGGCGGCAGATCCCAGTGGCGAGGTTGTTACGGCAGGGACGATGGACTCCTTCCAAATCTACGTGTGGTCGATGAAGACGGGAAGGCTTCTGGACGTGCTGAATGGGCACGAAGCGCCGATCCAGGGGTTGTGTTTCAGCCCAACCCAGGAGCTGCTGGCATCTTCGTCGTGGGATTCCACAGTAAGGATATGGGATGTCTTTGAGGGGAAAGGAAACGTCGAGACGTTTCGGCATAACCACGACGTGTTGGCCATCGCGTACAGCCCCGACGGGAAGCAACTTGCGAGTTCCACTCTCGACGGTCAGATATGGCTTTGGAATCCGATCGAAGGGCAGCTGGACGGTACCATCGACGGACGGAGGGATGTCGCTGGAGGGCGGAGGGCGACGGACAGACGGACAGCAGCCAATTCCGCCTTCGGCAAGTGCTTCAGCAGCCTCTGCTACTCTGCTGATGGGATTTTCCTCTTGGCGGCTGGCAACAGCAAGTACGTATGCATGTACGATGTCGCGGAACGAGTGCTGCTGAAGCGGTTCCAGTTCACTCGGAACAGAGCACTGGACGGAGTAGTCGATTTTCTCAACAGCAGGAAGATGACCGATGCGGGGCCCGTTGATCTTATTGATGATGCTCCTAGCGACGACGACGACCTTGAGCTGATGAGGAAGGCAGGTCCCGACATGGACATGCCCGGAGCAAGTGCAAACGCAGGCCGTCCGGTGGCGAGAGTCAAATGTGTGCGATTTGCGCCGACGGGCAGGTCGTGGTCGGCGGCCACGACGGAGGGGGTGATCGTCTACTCGCAAGACGACAACCTTGTCTTCGATCCCATCGACCTGGATGTTGACGTGACGCCCGAGGCGGTGAAGGAAGCATTGAGAGCGCGACAAGTGTTACGCGCACTGATACTCGCAATGAGGTTGAATGAGACACCACTGATCCGATTATGTGTGGAGAGTGTGCCGGTCGCCGACATTCCGTTGGTCGTCAAAGGGGTTCCCCTCACTTACCTCACGGCACTCCTTCGAGTCCTCGCCCACATGCTGGAATCGTCGCCGCATTTGGAATTCCTGCTGCGGTGGTGTCAAGAGGTCTGCGTAGCTCATGGCCGATACCTGCAATTGCGATCAAGAGAGACGATGCCGGTCATGAAAGCCCTCCAAAAAGGGATCGTGCGACTACACGACGACTTGGCCTCAGCATGTTCGTCGAACCAATACCTTCTGCAGTACTTGACGTCTGCACCTGCTCGACCCCCTGTTCCAACCCCTACTGGCGATACCGTCACAGTTGCCGGGAAAAGGCCTCGCCTCCTCGCTCCTAATCCCGATCCCCTCGCAGTGTAGAATTCGTCGTCGTTCCCATGGGTGCTGCTGCTGCCGTCTCGTTTTCCGCACAATGGTGTTCTTCCAAGCATCGACGGTTGTTGTTTTTCTGCTTAATATGATGATTTGACCATGCTTTCTGTTCTTTTTTTTTTGTTTGTGCTTTCGGTGTTTCCCTGTGGCGCTACGGCGGAAGACGGTGGAGACCTGAACTGCAGTTGTTAGTGAAGAATCAGTGCCATTCATTGACTTGAGAAACGAAGCCAGGCGCCTTGTTTGTTGAGCTGCTGTAGTGCAGCGATTTGCCAACCGGATGGGTAGACCTATGCTGGTGTAATAGCCACACACTAGGACCTTTGTACTGAGTTTGGCCGTAATTGTGGTCCGGTACATCCAGGAAAGTGTTCAGTGTGAGTACTATGTTCGTATTTCAAGTTCGTATTCCAAGTTCTCTAAGTGCATGATGCTTCTGAGAGGTGTAGGCTGCTGCTCCAGAGGGAGGGAGGCGAGCGTTTGCCCTTTGTCCAAGGATTGGCTCAATTTTGTAGAATCGGTAGGCCAACACGATAATATGTTGAGTTGTTGGCCGAGTAGAGGGGCTTTTTGTTTTTTTTTTTTTTTTTTTTTTTTTTTNGGACCACGGCCCTGGACATGTTGTCAAACCATCCCACCCCTACATCTGGAGAAGTGGGATTGGAATTGGAACGAGTGTCTCCAAAAAGTTAGGGGGCTCGGAAAAGGGTCCGCATGGGGGGGGACCGGTTCCTTTTTTTTTTTTTTTTTTTTTGGTTCAGGTTGATTGTGTTGTAGAAGTGATTTCTGTACGGAGGCTAATGGAGCTGGCCTCAATTGTTAAGCAATTGGAATTTCATCAGAGTTGATGTCCATGCAGCATTGCACTTTCTTTTTTCCCTCCTCTTTCTCTTTTCAAAGTTCTTTTCATCCTTCCCTCACGGCACTCCTTCGCTATCGGTCCCGCGCACATATTTAGCCTTGGATGGGACTTACCACCCAAGTGGGCCTGTACTTTTCGCTTCTCTTAATTGTCAGTGTTTAGAGAAAATTCGCCTACCTCCTGTAAAGGTGTGCATTCTGCTCTGTGAATCTTGCTCGTTCACCTCCTGTAGTTTTATGAGGTAGATAGAGCCTGACTCGTTCACCGGCTACAGTCTTCACCCGAATAGAACGTACGGTCATTATCACTGTATCTAGACGCAAAGTTGCCCCAAATACAGCTATAATGACGGTACGTTGTATGCGGGTGAAGACTGTAGTCACTGGCAGTGGCCGGCAATGGAAGATTGTGGTGTGTAGCATTTGCACAATTTTGCAGGGTTAATTGCATTGTGATGTGGACGGCAGTTGTTGTGGCTGTGTGACATTGGCGGCATCGAGGATTGAGTGTGAGCAACAGTTTCGGCTGCGTGTGTCTGCCTGCGGCTTTGCAACAAAGGGTGTGTGACATGGGAATCAGTTCTTGGTGGTCTGTGCGACATGTCAGCAGTTGAGGCTGTATTACCTAGAGCATTACCGTCTTCGCCTGAATAACCCCCGGTCATCAGAGCTGTATTTGGGGCAACTTTCAGTCCAGATACAGCAATATAATGACCGGACATTATTCTATTTGGGTAAGGACGGTAATAGCACTGTGAGGTGGACCTGTCTCTTATACACATCTAGATGTGTATAAGAGACAGATATATATATATCTCCGAAAGCTTAACATGATGCT